TGGTTTAATTTAACAAAACACTCTTTATTCAGCAGCGCATAGAATAGCACTTGATCCAGCACATTTTACATTTTATTTTATGCTATTTTTTATAGATATTGTGTTTCGCACAGCTTAATGAAGCCACAAGATACTAAATCGAAGTAGTGAAATTGTAATATGTGCGCGGGATACATGCGATTTTATCATAATTTTAATTCGCTATTATGATTTAATCAAGTTATAAAATAATGCCGGGATGTTTGTTCATTCGATTTGCTCTTCCGTAAATAGAAAACATGCTCACGGTTTGAAGGATAAGCTGACCAAGCACTCATCCACAAGGCTTACAAGTGTCAGAAACTCCGCCCCCACCAGTGTGCGTAACCCTCGCGTGACTTCTGGACAGCGCTGAAGTCTGTAGTTACGTCTGTAATACCAGTGTGCGTGATTTCTGTATTAACTCGACACTACCGAATAGACTTTCGTGTAGTTATGAGACATGATGAAGAACAGGACTTCTAAACACCTCGCCGTCTGCAAACTCTAACTCCATATCGCTTATCATATCATTTGGAGATAATAAAATCCACCATAAACGTTGGTCAGTATCCAACATCCAATCTGTCACCGATGACAGCGGTCTACAGCGTCCCAAATCTAATCAGCACGCTGTCAAGCCTCCGCTGCTGATGTTAGTCTGGGTGTGGTGTAAATCTCTGCGCTATCACAGTCTCCTGTTTCTCTGGCACCTGAGGATAATACACTAACTGAGCACACACACACACACACACACACACACACACACACACACAGAGGAGAACTTACACGTTCCAAATGTGCCTTGACATCAGTGTGTACGATAATAAACACATAAAAAAGCTTATTAAAGGATCTGATTCAGCGTATCAGATGATCTTTCTTGTTCTTTCTGTTCACACACACACACACACACACACACACAGCTTTAAGAGGCCAGGGTAGCGTTTTCCTCCAGATGAATTAGCCACTGGGTCTTTGCTTATGTAATATTTATAAAAGCCGTGTTGCACAAAACACTAAAGGCCGAGGCGCTCGGCTCCTAAAAGCTGCTTTCTCTCTTTTATTTCTGGACTTTTCCGTCGCTCGTCTCTCGCACAGACAGCATCGCTACGCTTACACAGAGTGACCTGATTCAGTCCTGAACTAAAACCACCAATCTTCATCTCCATTCTCCTACTGCTGCTCCGGGAGGAGGGGATGAGAGAGAGGGAGAAAGAGAGCAAAAGATAGAGG